TCGGTGGGTTTGCGGCGAAGCTCCGGCTTATGAACCCCCCTTGACGGGTTTGAATCAGAGCCGAGGTGCTCGCAATTTCAGGGAGGCGTATTGCGGAGAAAGCGTCGTGTAACTGAGACTTAGCGGTTGAGCCTCAAAATATTCCCAGGTGGTCGAAATGGATTCTCAGTTTTTGCCCGGATCGCGCCAGATACCCTCTTAAGTTTGGCACGTAAAACTCCCAACTTTGACTTTGTCATATAGAACAAAACATTTCCTAAATTTCGCCCTATTATTATTTTTTAATGTTATCTTTTTTATGTTGAGGTTATTAATACATGTTTATAAATATTTTTAGTTCATTTCTATTTCTATAACTATGAAACTACAAATATAGTGAATTTTATTTCTCCTGGACATTTCTTTATGTGACTTAGAAATTTTTTTTTGCCAACCTCCTTGTTTTTTTTTTTTGTTTTTTTAGAGCTCACATTTTACATTTCTTATTACGAAAACATGCAAAGCCTTTTTTTTTTTCTGGTAGTTATTTTTATCAAACCTTTAAAGACTTATTTTTTTTATATATCGAGGTGTGGAAGACGCAAAACTATAAATTAAGTCATACGATAAATGTTCAGATTCTTTCCTTTTATCGCAAAACACGCTCATTCGAAAAAATAATATTCTTCGTTTTTTTGTTGTTTTTTTTACATTACAGACGGAGAATTCATCATCACATTAACTCTGGTTCATAGCGCAGTTCAAATGTTTACCTAAGGGACTGCCAAAGCTAGTTTGTTTGATGAATTATATGAAAGTTATTACTGCTGACGTTAGCACGTACCTTTCTTGAAAGTAAAAGTATGTGAACAATTTTTATCGCGTGATCTAACACTGCGGTTAAGATAAAACAAGAGGCTTTTGAATATATATATATATATATATATATCAACAGTTTGTATACCCTGATTTTCCAGACTGTAGCCCCATACGTTAGGTCAGGCTCCCATGGGGTGAATATGCCGCGGACGACCAAGAAACCTCTCCAGGCGGGACGTTCGATTTACGCGCTTCGTCAACAGCCACTACTCTGACGCCGCACGCAAAGCGAACGCCATCAAGCCCAAGCAGTCATTCGGTCGTTAGAAGCATATTTGCGACGTGGAGTTTATCTTTTAAAAATGTAGCACGTATACGACAAATCCACTTTAAATTGCACGAAATTAGAAGCGCGAGGAAATAGTTCTACGCTGTTCTTGACAAACAAACCACGCGCCAGTGTTTTTTGCACAAAAATCGCAAGTATGCTTAAAAAACCATATTTGCCATTTACGTGCCGTACAACCCATCGCTTCGATAATATCATGCAAGAATTCGCATATATTCCGATTTTCACGCGATTATCCTTTTTTTTTTTCGCTCATGTGTTTCCGGCGCTAAAGAACGAGCCATGTGTTAAGGCCTATACGCACTTCTTCGTTTGAGTGCGTTCGACTGCGCTGCGTCGAGAAACGAAAGCGAGCTACCGGCAGATTTGTTCTTCATATGAAGCGTGCAATTCAATTGAAGCAGTAGCTTGGCACGCGTCGAAAGAAGCAGGGATGTCCTTGTTTCTCGCAGTCGCAACGCAGTCAAACACACTCAAACGGATTAAAGCGCAACTGCGTGTAGGGGCCTTTACGCTTTCACTCGAGTAACCGTGCTGCGATAGTTTGCCAAAAGAACAATAAAACGAAACCTAAATGCACGTATAGCGCACAAAGTGCACTTCGCGGTGTTCTGAAAGCGCGTTTAGGAAAGGCTCCGACGGGGTGCCTCGGGTCACGCTCTCAAAGTCTTCACCTAACGCACCCATTTCTATCTACGGTGCATACGGAGAAACCACAGGCGCTCCGAAACGGGCAGTAGCATTTATTTTAATGAATGGGCAGCAGATGCGCGTCTGCTATCGAGACCCGTATAAGGTCTGACACAAGCAAAAACGACGGCTGACACTATCATCCAGTCATTGCGGACTCGATGACCAATCGTCCCACGTCAAAGTCCCAGTTTCCCCTATCGGCCACACTGCTGGTAACCTCTTCCTCGCGATCTATAACGACCTCCTTTCCGAATGCTTCACAGGCGGCTAAGCAAAGAGCGAGTCTAGAGCGCCAGAAAGACGACGGAAATCTGTCTCCTAGTTTACGAATCAGTCAGACCACCGAAAGCGCGAAGATATCCAGCGCTGCAGAAGATCGAGTGACGTTCAGGGGCAGCTCTCGGGACGCGCGATGCGGGTGCCGGACTCCAAGCCCTCTCACTCCCGCCGCGCTCGCGGCCCGAGCTTTGGGCTTGAACTGTGGGCGCGCGAGTTGCACCCCACCCGACGGAGCCTTCGACGGAGCGTGGTGCCGGGGAGCGCACTTGAGACTCCCCCGACGGAGCCCCCCAGCTCCGCCCTCCAACGAACAATTCCAGAAGAGAGGACTTAGCCGAGTACGAAGGGAACACTGTTGCCCTCTGACCGAACCTTGCAAGAAATTATTCAGGTTTGACCATTGTGGGAGTATGGCACTCAGTGACGCAGCCGACGAAAAAATAGAGTAGTGGTTGGAACGCCGGACTTACCCGTTCGAACGCAAGTAAACGGAGCAGCATTTTGTGTAGTCAACGCAGATTTTAAAGTGTATCTTTAATTTACTGCTTCCTCCATTTTTATAGCGTTCCGATAACCTCAATGACTACGCCGATAGCGTCTATTGTTAGGTCAGGACGCCAGATATAAAACGCAACATGCGTAATTGGTTTATAGTTACTGTCTAATACATTTTGTGCTGTCCCGTATTGTTGGGACAGGTTTCCGATGAGCGCATACTACGAAGTTGTAAGAACGCTTTTGTCTCGTGCCAAATTTAGTAGTTCGTTTCTGCTTTTCGATTTTTGTTGTTAGTGTACACATTAAAAAGAATTATGCCGTCTGTGACAAGAAAAAACTGGAAAAAAATGGTTTGCAAACAAGTAAATATTTTACAACTAAAAATAGTGAACTGTCTCTAACGGTCTTATGATATCATACTCTTTGTTTATCGTTTCATCTATAATGTTTTTGTACATAGCTCTTTTTCGAGTGTCGTCCTTTCATAATTTATCAAAACGGCCACTAGACCAACACCACCTATAAGAATCAAAGCCTGCGCACTATAACTTTGACGTCATCGTAGTGAGATCGAGCGCAGACAGGGATTAAACATGAGTGCTGCATCAATATTCGGCTGGACCTCATGTCCATTCAACGCGTCGGATGACGCTCGGTATCAAACTCGGGTTCAATTGATTGCTTGGCGCTTTTCGACTGTGATGGCGTTTCGTGGAGGAAGAGATGGATGTTTTCGCAGGCCATATCTCTTCTACGTGGTGCTGACTAGACCCTGGTTCAGCTTATTGGGTGCACATCATTGTTTCCAATAAACACACGCTGTTGCCGGATTTGTTTTCGAACCTCCCAAATTGTAATCTTGCACTATTACGTGACGGACGTGCGTATTCAAAGGTGCTACATGGGCGACTGCGTTGGCTGTGAATCGAAACTAGAATGATACATTGTTTTATAGCGGCCCGATGCCATGCCTAGCGTATTTATCCATAAGAAAATGTTTCTTTTGGCAATAATTTTAATTTTACCGCAAACTTGGTTCACGGAGGGAGTCTACAGTTCTCGACTGTATGCAGTAACTTCCTTATCTCGAAAAGATGAAAGTGACAGGCGAAAGTGAAAGGGCCGGAGTACATTCTACTTCGGAATCAATTGGGACTTCTTCGCCACACATTCGTCTCAATTTGGCCTGGTCTTGAATTTTTTTTGTTATAGTTGTTTTATTTAGTGACGCTGTGGTCAAACTGTGCCTCGAAGAACTCGAGGGCATTAACGCTAAGCAGCGGATTCTTGTCGCACATTAGACGTACTTAAAACCTGGGTTTGCAATGAGTTATTTATAATTAGTTTAAAGGTTTGAACACGGAAAGCGAGTATCCTCCTACAAAACGGCCTTCCCCAGTCGTTTCAAAGTACGTCGTGTCGTTACTGCTAGCAACCAATGAGTCGCAGCCGTGAGGCTTTGTCGGTTCATCTGCATCACTCGAATCCGGGGATCGGCCGCCAGACACCCGCGGGCTGCTTCAATCTGCACCGGGCTTTCACGACAGGACCCGGGGCGGCGCCGGACGTGGCGCCATCTGTCCGCAGCTACTCGGACCAAAAATATTTGGGGGCAGACCGCCGGGCGCTTCGACCAGCCACCCGGGAGCAACCACGTCTCGACTATACCGCCGTCCCAAGTAGCGCACTTCGGGTGTCGTTCAACTTCAGAAATTATAGTTGCAGAGGTTCTTTCCAAAGTTTCGAGCTCGCGAAGAAATTCTCTCTTCTGCGAGCTGGGCTCAGCCGGTGGAGCGCGAAAGCGACAGGAGTACAGATCTATCTACGGCGCCGGCGGCGCGCGCTTCTCCGCCGCACTCTGTAGCGTGCGGAGAAACGCGCTTGCCGGCGTGGTTTCTTTCCGCGCTTGCACGGCCCGTCGTGCTGGGCGCGGGTAGAAGGACCGGGTTCGAACCCCGCGGCACCCGAACCCGAGGAAAGCAAAGTCCCAGTACCTGACTGGAGAGCGCTGGCTGACCGCCGACCCCCGCAGATGCCTCCGCCGGACGCCTTGGACGCGAGTCCCGTCGACCAGAGTCCGGACCGCGGGCGCGTGAGCACGTGGCGCGCGCACGTGGCGGCTCCCTCCCCCGATTGGTGGATCTGTCTGGCGGCTCCTCCCTCGGGGCGTTCCGGGCGCGTGGGCGTGGCCGTCACCTGTTGGCAGCCCCCGGGGTCTCCAGAGGGGCAGTCCTATGGGAGGCGCCTGTTACGGGCCCAGAGCGCTCACAAAAGCGGACCCCCGGAGGTTTGGCGCCGTCAAATCGGGCTCTCCCGGCGCGCTGTCAGGGCCCGTCTCCCCCTGGGCAATCGCGGCATGGCGCGCAGGTGAAGCAGCCTGCCCATGTTCGGCCTGCAGGATGCGGGCCTCCAGCCCCGGGGCCCCATGGCGAGCCTCAAAGAGGAGCCCCTGGCCCCCCTGCGCGCGGGATGGATGCAACCCGCCATGCTCGACCAGACCAGGTGAGCGCCCCGGGGGATCCCTCTTCCACGCCTCCAGCGTCACACGTCCGCGCCGCTCTCCTGGGGACAGCACCCAAGTGTCCGCGCACAACTCTCCAAAGGCTAGCTCGAAAAAAGTTTTTTTTTTCTTTATTTTTTGTTTCTCATCAGGAAAATGACAGATTTAACCAGAAAATGACAGATTTAAGCAACAAATCAAGTTTGTTGTATTTACAAGTTTTGAAATTAAAGTTTCAAAATGGGTCCTCCGTGTCCCATGTGCGGGTGATAGTAATTACGTTGTTATTAAAACAGCGACGGCTCTTGATTGACACTGTGACTGAGGTCTGCTACTAATTCAATATCGGAGTTCTTCGAAACGCATCGTATTTTCTTTCGTTCAAATTCTCAACTTGTAGTGCGCGTCTTCCTCGGAAAAACGCGCACTAGAAGTTGATACCGTTTTTCATAGACCGCAAACAGCCAGCTTTTCCAATGCGGTGTCTGAGGCTTGTCCGGACCATCGGTGTGTTAAATCCTCGAACTTGATCATCCTCAGTGAACGCACTGAGGGGCTTTAGAACATACGTGTACTAGGTCGGTGCGCCTGAGACGCGCGCAGAAGGCTAGAGACCGACAGTTCTGATATAGCGTAGATGCCACGAACGTCAAGTAACAAATCAAATGCCTAACAAAATATACCTCACATTTATACTTCATTTATATATATCCAATATGTATATATAAGTGAAGTGACCTACCGTGTGAACAATGGACCAAACGGATTAATAAGTACTACATGCGCAGTGTTACTGTAGACAGTTTAATCGACGACTCTATCGAGAAGGGGTATTTATCAGGTCAATGCACGTATATATAAATATGCACTGACCTAATAAATGCTATTTTCAGTGGTTTTAGAATTTTCATCAACGTCCGTCGAAAACGGTGGGTGTGGAAACCTTTGGAGCGGCATTGATTTCGACCAGGGTTTCCAGCGGGGGGTCATGTTACCCATAAGGATTTTTTTTTTTTTTTGCATTTTCAGCAACTATTGAAAGAGTATTGACTCGCCAAACATCACAAAACCGTAGAATCAAGACACGGCCTTATCGCGGCTTCCGTGCATTTGATAGCGACCTCCGAAAGCTTCCCGATAAACGGGATTTGTTATAATAAATTGCTTAACGACAGACGCTTCCCCGTCATTGATGACTGAAGTGCGCACTTGAGACTTCACTGCATACGTCAGCCGTCAGGAATTTTCGAGGGACTTGTAGCTGCTGACGGAAACACCCACTCGACTCCCCAGTAGCGCTCCGAATCTCATTTTCTTTCTGTGGGGAAAAAAAAATTAAACTCTGAACAAAACAAAAAACCAAAAGCAAATTCCCGCGAGTCGCTACTAGTAATTGTATCGCGTTTTCTGGAACCATAACCACTTAATGGTTATATGCAATGATAACTTATTAAATTTACCCGGAGAACTACATGTCCAAATCAAATTGTCATTCATGGCTCGAACTATGCAGGGTTGTTCCGACTACGCACTGCCTTTTGTTTGGTATACGCCTTTTCACTTCACGTTTCAATTCAACAAGTCTCACTCCAAGTGTCAGGTTTCTAGACTCTATTATTAAACAAACGTTACACTAAGTTCCCATGTTAACAAAAAAATATATAAAATGCCAAGTGAAAGCGTTTTTGACAAATGACAATTGCGTTTGCAATCACCAAGTCTCACGCTGGAGATGTTTCAATGGGAACCTCTCAATTATATGGAAAGCCTCAGATGACAGGCAGTCATACTCGGCGCACAACATCATGCAAAAAGATAAGTTTAGTAACGCCACAGATTCCCACCGATCACGGTTAGGCTCTAGTTGCTATTACAAAACGCCGGAATTCGTAATTTCAAAAGTACAGACTTTTTCTTTTTTTTATTCGAGCAAAATACATCAAACATTTGTCTAGGGGGCCGTCGCAAAAAGCAACACGAATGCCGTTTGATACCTAGATCCCACTTCCTTATCAAATTCTAACAATAATCTTATTCAGTTAATGATGCTAAGTTTCATTATTCCTCGCTGTCAGCATAAAATTGCGCTAGAAATGTAAGCTGCTCAGTTGCGTGCATAAATCTCGACGGTGTTCATGTCACTGATTGATGCCGGGAAAACCTCGGATGCGAAGGGGTTGCAATTCGTTCAGCGACTCCGCCGTGCGCTTTCGATCGCAGCGAGTCACTGATCAGATGCGGTGCTGAGGAAAAGGGACAATCGCGGCGAATATCTATTGAGATACGGAAACGGTGCGCGGCAATACGCAATACGGTGGAGAAAAAACCATTACGTCGTTGACATCAATCTTTTCAGCGGCGGGACGGAGAGTTTAAGCCCTTGTTGCCTTTTCCGATTAACCTACCGATCCTAATTTGGTCCTCCCTCACGTCGTGGGCGCCAATCCACTCTGGAAAAAGACTGAAAACAAAACAAACCAGAAAGCGGCATATCAAAGGACCTCCGCGAAACATGGGAGTCCCCTTGCTCCGTCGTTGCTGTCTTCTAACATTATACTGAATAAACGTGCTTTTTTAAACTCCCTGACTGTTCAAAGGCGATTGCTCGTTGAGCGGGAAAAGGGCCCGACGCTAATTTGTTATTTAAATGGAGAACTAGTCTATCAAAAGCGTGTTGCCACGCGGTCTTTTTTTTTTTTTTTTTACGGTTTCGTTTTTTTACGTTGGTTCAGACTTTGTCCTTTTGTACTTCGCAAATGAACTCTAATCCCATCGACTTAGACCTATAGGAATTTAGGGCGTTTTGTACATGAGTTGAGGCATGAATTAAGCTCTTCGCTAATCTTCTGACACCGCTTCTATAAGCGATACTGAAGAGAATTTAAACTTTTCTATTAGGTGCATTGTACGATTGCGATTACGTTTGTTTTTTGTTTTTTTCTCGAGAGCTTCTCTCTCTTTCTCTCTTTGTCTCGAATACCGGAATACAAAAACAAGAAACGCTTTTCATCGTTCGCTTCAATAGAAATTGTCGAATAGCTCTTATCGAACGTGAAGACTCGTGGCTGTGCGTTCCACAGGATTGCACCGTAGTTTTTGTTTTTTTCTTGGCTGGGTCGTCATGACAGTTTTTATTCAGTTTCTGTTGTCACCTGCGTCGTCACCTGCCTTATACTTGCGGAGGATGTGTCCTTGCTTCTGTCGCTGGGAAACCTGCTTCGAATGCATAACTCTACCAGCATCTCTGGGAAGGTACCATCACCAAATGCACATCGTCAATTAAAAGCTCAATTAATTTTAATATCCCGTGTGGTGGCTTCATCATAGGTCCACCAAATATGTGTTGCGTCAGGCATGTTCCACAAGTTCAAGCGAAGTCCAAGGTATAAAATCGTGAGCATGTTGCCTCGAAGAATGCGTTCAATTCACAAACCCATGCTTGCCTGAAAGGCATGCTCGCGTAGTGGCGTTCGTGTAAGCTCTAGCTTGTACTTAAGCCAAACAGTGTATAGAAAATCCCTGCAGGGAGCGCGCGATAACTTTCGTGTCTTGGTCGGTCGCGCGTTCCTAGCAACTATTTCTACGCAATGTGTCAACTGTTAAATAATAATACACAATGAGAAAATAATAAGCGTTTCAACAAACGAATAAAAACTATAGAATACAATTTTCACGACATGTTCACAAGGTTGGATTTTGAATTTGGTGAAGCAAACAATTTAAATGTCCAGTTTTAATTTTTTTGTTGTTTTAGACCTAGTTTCCGGTTACTAATTTGTTATCTCTCAAAAATCTTCATGCTGTATCCTTCTTGACTAGTCAACAGACAAAAAACAAAAATTGTAACTCTCGGATGTTTAGCTTGTTTCCTGGAACTACTATGTGGTCTGTGTCACAATCGTCAATTGATGACTGTGAAATCAGGGAGTCGAACCGGTAATTATTCCTCTTCAGTTCGGGTTTAGTAACTTTGCATTTTGTTCCAGTTCGGTTCCGGTTCAGTGATGAATTAATAAAAAATACGGTTGGGCTACCGGTTCCATCAAGTGTGAACTAGTTCAAATCGGTTCTTAAAAGAAAAGTCCACAGCTTCTAGTCGTTAAAAAAGTATGTTCAACATGACGTCATTTGCATTAAGAAAAGGTAATCAGAAGCCGTGCAGGGGAAACGAAAACAGCAAACCAAATTTATGCTTAATGTCGTCTTGCGATCTTGACTTTTTATCGCAAACAGCATTCTACGCAAACTAAGTGGTCATACAAGGGCTCAGAAACAGTACCAAAGTACAGTACTCACATGTGAAGTTAGTCAGCCAGCACGCACAGTGACACCGTGACGGTAGAACGTACCATAGTACCAGTTACGGACACAAAAAAAATCCTCAAGTAGCGTCCAGGAGGCTGTTCTGGGTGATTGGTGTCCCGGTGACCGGCGCCGCAGTGTCCGCCGCGCTCGACGCGGCTTCGCCTCTTGGCGCCTCCAGATTCTTTCACAGCGGAACAAACACGCCGACAGCCACCGACGTTTTGTTTTTATTTTGATATTTAAGTTTGCTTTCGCTCTCATTCAGGAAAATTGCTTAACAGCAAGAAATGAAAAACAAACACACATGACACAAGCACAGACACAAATAATAACACTTAGCCTCTTGACAGAGTCAGCTATACTCCGTTTCACCTTATGTTGTTCTGCTATGGACGTTACGAGCTCCCCACTGTTCTACTATGGACGCGCGAGCTACTGCACATAGTTCCTGGCTTGTCTCGTGACTTCGCGCTTCCCGCGTCGCACCACCGAACTGGAAGCGCGCGTGACACCCTCCGAGCTATGGATTGGCTTCGGTCGCTCGTAGCATGCTTTGGGGTCCATCGAAAGGTGAAAAAAACATAGAAGTGTTCGCCACCGCGCCGACTCGCTCACGCCAAGTCTTGCTGCACATGGATGTGAAATTTTTTTTAATTTCATTATTAGTGAGCAGTCTCCACGTCGCTGCCGTTTGTTA